AGCTTTTTAACTGGATGATCAGCCAATATCATTCGTTCCACTGGTCCGATTACATTCGAGATTGCCATGCTGCAGTTCTTTAATGTGCTGTGGATGTATTTTGCCGTTGCCTTTTATACAAATATTATCAATTAATTAGCAAAATTCATGGATGTGTAAATGTATAGTGTAGAAAAGACATACCTCAGGGCCTGTATATTTCCTCAAACCCTCGAGAAGCTAACCAGTTAAGAATACAGCTCGAGAGTTTCTCTTTCTCTGGATAACTTTCTGTGCTTTCCAAACAAATTCAAGCGGATTGTAAGATTCTACACTGGCTAATTCAGGTAAAGAAACATGCAAGAATCCAAATTTGTTTCCCCATGGTGACTCTGCATCCGCTTTGACCATCGCCTTCACTGACTTGTACCATCCAATGATCCTAGTATTGAGCCGCACTAGTGCTGTAGAATTTTCATTACTCAACTTATTGCTTCTCGTTCCTTAAATGTATAATCGAGTCCCAAAGAAAATTATTCCCGTAATTATATCATTTATTGTGTGTTAGTGACCAAAAAAAGAAAAAAGGTAAGTCCAAACAGAAATTATGAACAAAACCTTACTGAAATTTCAGCTTGCTTGAAGCTATTGATGATGGGATAAGATATGCATATTGGCATCAGATTTTAAAGCTTGGAATTGTGGAATAAAAGAATGATCAATGCAAAAAAGTCGTGAGATAAGAGTTTATAATTCGACCACCATCTAATATCTAATAAGACTAAAAAAAGGAAATGCACTCGTGTTGGTTACATTCTCCTATTTAATACTTACTATTGAATCCGAGTCATATAGATAAAGAGAATGGTCGTAACCAAACATAAAAAATTTACCACACCAGTCAAATAATTTTTACGTATTGGAATTTTTGAAGATCTTGATGAATATAAAATTAGTATAATCATATATACTTGACCTGTTTAGTCGGATCTTGTAGAATTTTTATTGACAGTATAATTTTCTTTTTTGTTAAAATACTAAAAAATTTCATGCACTTTCTTAAATTTATCAAATAAGTTTTTATTATTTTAGTGTTTTAATTAATTGAGCTCTTAAAATATTATTTTTGTTTAATTAAGCTTTTATTTTACATGAAAACCATTAAAATCTATTAAATAAATAAGGATTTAATTAAAAAAAAGTTTATTACTTTAAGGATTTAGTTAGATAAAAATAATAATTTAAGGGCCTTATTAATTAGAATAAAAAGTTAATTTAAAATTTTAATTGAGTATAATTGAAGAATAAGAACTTATCTACAAATTTTGAAAAAGAGCAAAAGGATTTTTTTTAATATTTTAATAGTTTTCCCTTGAGTTGACAAAAGAGCAAATATGAAATGGTGACTTAAAAATCAGGAAAATAATATAATATCAAATATTGCATCAACTACCAGATTTTTTTTTTTTTCAAAAAGAAAAGGGGGAGTAAATTTATTTTTTACAAAAAAAAAAATTACAATTTAAAAATAAAAAAATTTATAAATATTAAAATTTGAATTCTATGAATGTCATATCTTAAGAATTACTATATAAAATAATTGATCTAATTTTGGATTCAAGTAGATTCTTAAACGTATTTGTTATCCCTATTATTCATTATCTAATTCAGTTGAGATATACTAATAAATGGCTAAATGTTAATAATGCTGAGAATATAAAAATCTCTGAATCAGTTGTTACATTCTTTTTAATTAAATACATAATAGTGAGGTGGATTTTCCAATACGATGAAACAATTTATGACTTCTTTAATGTGCATGTGAGTTAAAAGCAAGTAGTAAACATACCACTCCAAGCTTGGTCTTGATTTGTTCGATGTGATCGAGAGAAAAAGTCATTGTTGAAATTACAAGTGGCTTGAACTCAACCCAAGGATCCCCAGATCTTATCAAAGTTCTATCATCTTCAAGATAACTGCTTTTCAAAAGGCTCCACCCAAAATCTGATAGTGTTGAAAGCCGAGTATAAAACATTAGGCATTTCCCTGAAAATGCTGTTGCTCTTCTGGGAACGATGATCTGGGGCAAAACTAAGTGAAGGAAATGTCAATGGAACAGGAGGTTTATCAGCTCTTTGTAGACAAGAAAGCAGAGCACCCATAAGAGAATAACCGTCACCAAGCGCATGATGAAGCTTGAATATCAGATTACCAGCTGCATTGCTAATGGGGTACTTGATATGAATATTCCATGGTGGCCGGGAAAAAAAATTTGAGTTTATATAAATTGCCTAAAACCAAAACAATGCTGTTTGGAGAAGGGTCAAGACAACGTCTTTTAACCCTGCAGAATTCGCGTGCCGCTCGTAACCCAACGTGAGATCTGCGCAACGACCAGCACCCAATCTATCTTTCTTATCAGCCCTTAGCTGGTTTGATTGAATCGCTGACTAGATCAAACCAAATTAATGTTGATCAAACAATTGATTGATCCGGTTCAAGAAAAAAAAAATTTTTTAATTATTTTTTATTTTAAATTTTTATCATTAATATTTATGCATGTTAAAATATTTAAATTTACTAGAATAAATTTTTGTTGTTTTTATAATAATAATTAATAAAAAAACAAAAAATAAATAATCAAATATATAGTTAAAAATTTTTATAATTTTATTAAATTTTGGAATAAGCCTTATAAAATAATGACAAAAATAATAATTAATAATTAATGATTATGATACCAAAAAAAAAAATTGGTTCCTAACCTTTGATAAATTTCTAAAATTAAAAATTAAAAGTAAGAAAAATTATTGTAAATAATAAAAAAATTAGCAAAATGTAAGAAAAAGAAATTTTATCTGATAATGAGATTCAAAGGTACTTTGAGTAGTGATACTTTTCAATTCTTTAGGTGAAAAGATTTTTTTTAAATATTATCAACATATTAAAGTATTTATAAAAAGGTTTTAATATAATAAAAACTTTTCTTTTTTTGGCTATAAAGTAGTAAAAAAATTAATTAATTTGTTAAGAATAAAATGATAGAAAATAAGAAAAAAAAATTTATCCGATGATAAAATTATAAAAGTATTCCGAATAGTGATGCTTTGTAAAATCCCTAAAAGAGAAGTTTTTTTTAAAATATTGTCAGTATATTGAAATATTTATAGAAAATCTTCAATATAATAAAAGTTCATATTTTCTTTAAAAATTTAAATAAATAAATAATTTTTTTTAAAAAAATAAAATTTGTACATCAACATATTAACATTTTGCATTGTATGCACGACATAATTTTTTACTAAAAGTAAATTCAAGTCTCCAAAGATGAGATTTTAAAGTATTTCAAAAAACGGTGCCTAAAAAATCTTTATGTGAGAAATAATTCTTCTAATGCTACTAACGTATTGAAACATTTTAAAAATTATTTCAATAAAAAAGCTTTAATTTATTTTTTTCGAATAAAAATAGAACAATAAATAATAAAAGATACTAAAAAAAATTAAAATTTCAATAAACAAAGAAAGTCAAGAAAATTATTTTTCAAACATCGAAATTAAGACTGTTTTTGTCAAAATCAATAGATAACACGTAATTAATTGGTATCGTTTTAAACAGGTACTATGAGGATGCTAATCTTTCTCTACGCGTAATCAACTTCTAGATCTAAATTATTTCTTGGATCATAAAATTATTTTTTATAATAAATTTTAATTAATTTTAAAATTTTATTAAAATGATATGTTTTAATGTATGACTAATCTCACTTAATAAAAAAATATTGATGATGACTTCATTTTTTTTTTTTTTTCAAATTTTTTGAACGTTTATAAAACCGTTACGACAACCACTATAAAATTAATAAATTAACATCACTCAACAATTTGATGACATAAAATAAAATCTTAATATCACTTATTTAAAACATTCATAATACATTAATCTAAATACCTTGTATCAACTACAAGTTTGATTCTGATATGAAATATTGAAATATTTAGTTAGAAAATTATATTTGCTTGCGATGATGTCTAATTTAAAATTTAATTTAATAAATTAATTAATACATACAATTATGAAAATACGACGCTAAATAATATCACTTGTCTTTTCAGGAATTTGGTGTCAAGTGTGACGGCACAATATCCACATTGAAAAGATCTTTCTCGCTATTTTCGATCAATGACGTGTGGGCTCCTTCTTGTGCCTCCAAATCCTTTCTCGTACAGCAAAAATCAAATGTCCAAAACTTAGATTTCTAATTAGGCATTGTCAAAAGTGAATAGGTTTTAACTCTTTCAAATTAGAGCTTGGAAAAACCTTTTTTTCTTTTTTTCTTTTTTTCACGTTTGTTATTTTTATTTCTTTTGAATATTTTTTTATTTTATTTTTGAAAGATTGTTTTCTTCTTTCTTGATTTTCCTTTCTAATATAAAAGCCAAACTCCAAAAGAAAGTTTTTTTAATATAAAAATCAAACTAAAAAAAAGAAGTCTAGACCTAATGCATCAAAAGGACATATAAAGCAACATAAATTTCAAAATTAAAATCCTTTATTTGCCTTATCTATTCCCTTTTTAAATATTGTCTTATCTTTTATTCTCTTTGTTTCAAAATTAATAAAAGAAATATGTTTTATAAAACATATATTCTTAACAAGAACATGATGAAAATGAGTGTACACAGTATCACAATTCATGCATTATAATAAATTATGTTTACTATATTTCACTAAAATGATATTAGGATACGATGGGATGGATTCCCCTCACACTGCCAAATGAGGCTTAAATTAGTGACAAAAATGGTTAGGGTTTTAACTTAAAAAATTAATTTTTTTAAAAAATATCATTCCTTGATAATTTATTGTAAAAGTATAAACTTATGCAGTAAAAATACGTCAAATATAAATTCAGATATATATATATATATATATATATTTGATGATGGTTTTTCTAATAGTTCCAATCCATAATTTAGATGGCGCACAATATAGCTAACTAGATTTGTTGAAATCTCAGTCCAAGCCTTTCTTCTGAAATTAGCTACGATGAAGATTCTAACGATAGACTTCAGTATAGGCTACTAGAACTAGTTAATATAGTTATTTTAGGCCAAATTGCAAGGAGCAAGAAACGGACATCCTCCAACGAACGGTAAGCTCAGCGCAAAACAAGTTAAATCACACAAAGCATAGCTGAAGACCAAATACCCCCATAATTTGTCACCAAAAACCAAAACTATCACCCATTTCTTTGCCTTACTTTCCCCCTCCCCTTTTTTCTGATGAATATTCGGCTTTCTTTTGCTCTCCTCATTATCTTTTTGGCCTTATCGGCGGAGTTGTCATCCTCCTATGGTAACATGCATTGGAGTCGAACCTCGTTCTCCAGCACGGTCCGCGATGGAACTCTGGGTGCAATGCAAACATGTCATGGCCTCTTCGGTGAATGCATAGGCAATGATGAAGAAACGGTGATGGAATCGGATATAAGCCGTAGGGCATTAGCTGGACGGAAAAGGTACATTAGCTACGGTGCCTTAAAGCGCGATCGCGTTCCATGCAATCGTCGGGGCCATTCCTACTATAACTGTGGTGCTCCAGGGCGGGCTAATCCTTACAATAGAGGGTGCAGTGTGATCACACATTGCTATCGATACACTGGTTAAGTGAAGCAATTCTATTTCCATTAAATTTCCCATACATTTGTTCTTCATCATCACTTTTGTAGGCCAAGATTTTCTTCTTTTAATTAATTCTGGTTTTTTTTCTTTTTGCTATTAATTTATGTTATGATCATATATATATATTAACCAAAGTAAAAAAAGTGGCAGGGATGTTTAATTTCGAGGGGGTAATTATTTTTTTAATATTTAATTTTATTTTTGTTGAATATTGTTAGTGCCGAGTCATTCTAGAGGGCAGAACCCCAAAATCATAGGAAAGAGAAAGAAAGTGGCTAAGAGCAAAGGTTGGGGGTAGTTTCAACATTTGTACTCAAATACTCAAGATAGAAATTAGATAAGATAAAGAATAGAAAGGAGATAGCAAGAGAGTAGAGAGAGCAAGATGGGGAAATGATACCTACAAAATTGGGCCCGAGGTCATCCTTAGTGCTAGAGATGACTCGGTAGATCTTAACTAAGCTAGATGATGACCATTCACTCGTGGCGTAACAAGTCAACGTTCAAAGGAGATCTACCCTGTAGACTAATAAGGTAGCTAAGCTGACGTGAACCCATGAATTCAGGTCAGCTTAACACATCAGTTTGAACAAAAACTTCAAAATATCCCTAACTGTTTGCCATCTTTCTCTAATAGGGAAAAATGCTCATCATGCCCTTAAGACTTAAAAATACCCCTAACAAATATAAATTAATTTAACATGTAATCAACATAATTCCCAAGTCCCAACTTTATATTAAACGTGTTATGCATATGCTTATAATCACTTTGTCTTCCTGTTCCTAGTAGATATCAAATAATTGCCCTCATAATTTTTTATAATTTAATTTAATTTGTCAAGTAATTTTAATTGTAACTTTAGATGCTTTTCGTTCTTCCAAAGTTTATGAATTTAGAAATTTGTTTATGATTGCATTAAAATAGTGGATTGTATACAAATTAGTTGATTGAGGGTGAATTTGATGAAATTTTTTGTCTGCAGTGCTTAAGATTCAAAAAAAATTAAGAAATTGATTCAAGATTGTAATGTTTGAATCAATTGTTTTTATTTGTTTTGGTCTAGATTCAAATATTTTACACTTTAATTTAGTTCAATTTGGGTTTCAGACAAAAAAAAATCTAAATATTTGAAACGATATCAAATTATATATTTTTTAAATTTATATACACTAAAAATAATTATTTTATATATTTAAATACATTAAAAATAATATTAAATAATAACAAAATTTTAAAAATTTTGATAAACTGAATCAATAGACTTTGATTCAAATTAGTCTCAAAGGAAATTAAGTTTAAATTTAAATCAATTTTTAAAATTTTATAATATTATACATTAATCAAAATAGACAAATCAAATCGAATCGTTATTTTTTTTGGATGATGATATAGTATACAAATGCAATTTTTATCATTTTCAAGGGAGATACATGATAATTTAGAGTTAATAGTATTTCAATTTATATGTTGCCTATATGTTTCTAAAAATTATTTTATTTTAATATATGTTTCTAAAAGTTAAAAACAGAAGTTAATGAAACAATTTTTTGGTACTTGATAAGGATGTCACGAGAGCAGGTTTGGAGTATATCTGATAATTTGTGTATTTATATCATATAAAATATTAAAATTTATATATTCGTATCGTATTTTGTACAAAAATTATGTGTTACAATTTATATTGATATGAAAAGATAAAATACATATTTTTTTTGTTTTATTAAACTGATATATAATTATTACTAAAATTTTAAACTATGTTACCTTCATGTCTTTTTTTTATATGAATTTGTGTTATGTCATCGTATCGTATTTTAAATTATCAAATCTAAATTTTAGAGTAAGTAGTGGTATAGTGCATTCTCTTTCTTTGTTTTTAATTATCTTCATCATTCCTCTCTTCAAAGAAGAATTTATATTTATCTTCATCTCTATGGAAAATTAATGGTACGAAAAATCCCTTTACTACTTGCTTTTATTAAAAAAAATAAAAATAAAAATATTTAATATTTTTAAATGAGGAGAGATCAATTTGTATAGTGTAACTCTTCTTTAGTTTTACATTTTTTTTAGTTATTGATTTTAATCAATTCAAGAGATGAGATTAAATTTTTTTAATTTTAATTTATCTCTTGCATCTTTTGGATATATTAAAATTAAAAGTTAGAAAAATATATGAAACTTTTTTAGTTTTACACTATTTAAATTGATCCATCTTCTTTTTTAATTATTTACATATAAATTTAGAGTTCATTTCTATATAGAACTAATAAATATTTTTAACTTCACAAATAAAATTAATAAGTTGTCACATATCTTATTTTTAATTATTTTATTACATACAAAAGATATGTGTTATCCAAACACCACTATTAATGGAGGTTATAATTTTTTTATATATTTAAACAATAATAATTTTAAAATAAGTAAAAGATTACAAATAATACAACATAAAAAATAAATTTATATTTATGTTATAAAGTTTTACCAAATAAAAATTATAAAAAAATTAAATGAAAACATAATTCAAATGAAATTCTTCAGTTAGATTTTTGAAAAATTCATTTTGGGTTGTGGTCAAAAACACTTATTTTGGGAATTCATTGATGCCACGTGGTAGTTTATAATTGCTCAAGGATGTGGTTCACCTTAGTTGTTAGTCACCTTGGCAATGCTCTTTAACTAAAAAACTCTTTTTAGGCTTCTAAAGTTAGGCGTGGTTGAACGCCTATATTTGTTGAGAGGGAACTTCTAAAAGCACTCTTTTTCTCTTACTTCTAAATTTTTTTATTATAAAAATGTTCTTAAATAAAATAATTTAATTAATATTTGATAATTTATCCTTTAATCTCACTTATTTTTAGTTTTTAAAAATGCATATTCGGAAGGTTTATAATCTTTTCAAAAATACGTATTTAAAAGTCTTTGAACCTTTTGGATATGAATTTTTGAAAATTTTTTTAAATTTTTTGAAAATGAAAATATGAAAGGCCTAGTAAACTTCAATTTTGAAACCCTAAACCTTATAACTACACCCTAATTAATTTTGTTATATGCGAAATTATTAAAATATTGAATTATTTTGAATGAATTAATTAAATGTTTAATATTTTATCACAAACGAGACATTAGACAAATGGGAGGTTAAATTTATATATTGTATAATTAAAACATATGTATTTAATATGTACACGTTATGCAAATATACAAAAAAATGTTCAACATTTCAAAGTCATAAATTTTCTACATATATATATATATATATTATATGTCATACATGCATAAACTTATAACTACTAGTCCTAATCCTTCTTCCTCTTGTTTCTTAAATAAACACGTTGAGGTGAAGATTGGGCTAGCGATGGGGATTGTGCTATCCATAACGGTGTTGTTGTGGGTGGGGTGCAAATAGATGTGAGTGGTGCTGCTGGCAGTAGTGGTGTCGTTGATGCAGGGGGTGAAGAGTGAGTAGGTGTAGGTGGTCTGTACTAATTGCTTTTGGTAATTGGTCAGACTAATAGGTACTAGCCACCCTAAAGGACCTAGATAGTAGGTCACATGTAATAAAGAATGCTCCTTTTCATATAGTCGAGTCTTGATCTAATTCACCAGTGATAATACTTTCAATAAATGACATTGCCGTCGATATACGACCCTACAAATTAAATAAGATAATAACTATCAATAACACATAATTTCTAATAAACTAAACAAAAACAAATATATTGATTGCATACAATTTCACTGGTAGGCTCTTTATCGACCGATTATGACTAAAATCTAGATCTTTAATCTGGCTTTTGAATGTGCGGATGTAAAATTAAAGCATATCAAGTATCATAGTCCAATGAACATTCACATGATGTCCAACATTGTTGCCTTTGATGCTCTTCAGGCAGATCATACATATCCCATCTCTCTAATAATTGGTCTAAAAAAAAGTTGTATACAACCAGATATATGTTGGATGATGAACCCCGATTCGCTTGAGAAAGGGGCTTGAGAGGTTGGAGGAATGGTTTATATAAAATCAAACTATCGTAGAGCATTTTTTGGGTGATACGGCTCAACGATACTCCTACACTTCAAATATCCAGAAAAAACTAATCTTATGTTATAGGTGCTATTATCTTTGTTACATTTAAGGTTCTCAACACACCTTGATTGGTCGTAAGTCATGCTGTTACTCCTGCAATCACTATAATTTATCGACATATGCACAGGGCCTGCAATATAGAGCACGAGGTTGAATATCAGAATATTCCAATATAGCTACTGGACCCAGTGAAGGAAAATGCTTGTAAGTCCATGCCTACATCAAATACATAAAGCATCATTTTTCACATGTTCGTTTCAATCAAATAAAAAATGAAATTAGAACAATATCACATAACTATTCTTATATACATACCTAAAGAACATCATATAACCAGCAATTTGATAAACATCAGACCTGCTAGCTACACCAAGTTGCCTATATAGATATGTTAAGTAAGATGTTGCCTAAGCATATTTACCAACCTGGTTGAGATAGATCAAGAGGGATAAATACGCCAATGATATCTTATGTCCACTTTTATCAACAAACAATGTGCACCACAAGAGATGAGGTAACAAAGCCCTGCTTGGATACTCTACACTTTGATTAAAAGCTATTCGATCAAAAGCTATATCTCTCATATCAATAAAATGATCTCGCCACTCTCAACATATGCGAAAGCCATCATATTGTTGGATAAATGATAGGTACAATCGATCAATGACTGCAACATGGACTAAACGAATACACGAATATGTTGCCAGAAGCATCTAGAGGCCACTAGTGTAACTTTGCCTTAAGGTTGATGGATTTTAATATAGCTTACACCTATAACAACAATAACAAATAAAAACTAGTTATTAACTTTATAAATAAGTAATGAGAATAAATCATAAGAGTCATCGCGATTGAATTTATTACTTGCTCATTCCATATACTTACTGCAATATAAGTCCTGAAGCTTTTAAGGATGGAACTATCCATTGACCCTCCAAGAAAAGACTCAA